ATAGCAACCCTCAAAGTCTAGACCACCGATTTTAGCCCGAGATTATCACACTTCCTAGCTGAATGGGACAGGGTGCAGGACAACCGTAACCCCATATCACTTTCTGTTATCTCACATCTTTAACGATCCGGATTTCCCTTTAGGTCTAGATCCAGAGGCATTTTGCAGGTGGCTTAATAAAGGCATTTATAGGATAGGTCACTTTTTGACCCCCAGGGGGCCCTTTACTCTACTACATTGCCAATTTAAGCTGAAAATGCCCTTTTCGGAGACCATTTTGGTTCTACCAACTTTCCCATTTTCTGAAGTTGTTAGGACCAGAGGTCCTTAAAAATATCCTAAAAAGATATCTTCTTATGAACATTAGTGTTCACAGGACACGGGTCAGAGAGGTGGGATATAGGCTGTTGCTGGACACCGCAGACAAAATGCCTTACATGCAGGCTTGGGAATTGGACTTGGAAAGGGATTTGGAACATTGGCACAATTGCTTTCACTACGCATTTAAGGAAGTCATGAATATCTAATTGGTAGAGGCAAATTTAAGGTCATGACTAGATGGTATATGGTTCCTTCACGACTCTCGAGGATTTTTCCGGGTACCTCGCCATTTTGTTTTTGTGGCTGACAATCCACCAGTCTTTGGTCTGATTAGGAAGGTTTTGGGAGTCCTGGTTCCCCAATTACCCCGTGTAGCCTTATTGAATGAACTGGTGGAGGGGAAGCTTTGCTCAAAACAAATATTAATTCTCTTTATGTTACTAGCTGCTAAGTTCACCATAGCCCGTTCATTGAAAAGGTCCTCTGTATCAGTCTCCGTATTTTGGCGAAAGGTGTCCTGGATAATGCTCAACAAACATCTTGCTAATGAGCTCAAGGATACCTCTAAGCGCTTCGAGCAAATCTGGGGCCCCTGGGCGGAATATGTCCATATTGACCTTTAGAGAGAATTATGAAACCTTGTGCTTCTCCTTTACTCTGAGAGGCTTGTAAGCCTCCTTGCCGCGGCTCCAGGTCCCTCTCTCTCCCATTCTCCTCTTTTCTTTTCTTTTCCCTCCTTTCTCTATTCCTCCTTTTCATGGTACCTTGTTTCGTTTATCTTTATGTTAAGATCTCTTAGATGTGCTCCCATAATCTGTGTTATGAGGGGGAAAAGGGGAAAAAATGTGCATGTGATTAGCTGTGACCATTCACAGCTAGGCACTAGTATACAATGGATGGCATCATGAATGAAGCCATCCATTGTATACAACTGTCATGTGACCTGCTGTGATTGGTCACAGCAGGTCACATGGTACCAGCAACGGGAGCCGGTACTCGGATCTGTCATTGGCCGTGTCCGAGGTGCACGGCCGGTGACAGATCGCACTGCTGCTGCGCCGCTCTGCATTAGCGCAAACGGCGCAGCAGTGCGGGAGCACGCCAAATGGCGTGCACCCGGAATGCAGGGACACATTTGAAGCCGCCAAACGGCCATTGGCCGGGCGGCTAATGGTTAATTAAGTGATTCAAAGGAAAGCAAAATCTTCAAACATTTTTCAGTTTATATAGTGAATGTTTGAGTTTGTAAAAAGAATACAAACACTGCTATTTTTTGAACAGTCTAATGTTCACTTTTCTTCAATTTTTTTAGAGGAACAACACAAATTTGATATATTTTTCTTCATGTTTTGATTTGGAATAGAATGTGTAGTGTTCCCAATGCATTTGTGTGTATGGAAATAAAAGCTATTAGAAGAATTTTGAGCTTTATTCACTTTTTTCAACACACTGCTATTATTTTGAACACAACTGTAGATGTATGGGTACCGGTTAATATGCTCCTCATTGGTGTGGAACATTTATTTTGCGGAATTTATTTTGTTATAATGATTTTGAACTTTTACAAGTTTAAATTGCTCACCTGTTTGGCCATTAACTTGGCCTATTTTATGTATGTATACTGTGATTATACTTTTTGAAATAATAAAACAATTGAAAGAAAAAAAACTGATGGTAAACTGATGAAAACCTGATAAAAAAACAATATAAGCTTCATCCGTTTTTTCTTTGCAGCTTTGAAACTAATTGTCATGCTTCACATGACTGTCATATGCCTTTAAGTGTTCTTTGTATTTTGTCTCTGCTCTTCCCTTTCCTTTGGTTTAGTTCTTGCTGTATAGATAGCCCACCCCCTTTCCCAGTAATGCATTTCAGCTTCTAGCCTCATGTCATGCCTATCCGATGTTCATTGTTGTAAGATTCTCTCAGTTTATGGAATAAACTTCACAAGATCTACAAGGTGTCGTCTGGATCGAGTCACTGCCTGTGTTATTCAACTAAGATTGGAGTTATCGCTATCTCATCACAACTGTAAGTTACAGAGATCACACTTTCAATGCTTAGATTGGAGAGACAGAACAGTCAAAACATCAGTGAAATGTCTTCAAAGGATCCTTGCTAACTTTGGATACACAGTGAGATGTTATATGGACACTGAATATAACAGCTACAGATAGTGCAGCCATCTCTACACAAACCTGTACATGTCTGCAAGTATATATCAGCATAAACACCCATCAGTGTCAGGACAAATTATTGATGTGAATGTCTTAGAACTGCAAGTTTATACACTGCATCTGTATGCATTAGCACATGGCTTTGTCTGTGAAATCTGATAGAAAGTGAAAAAACTTTTCTTAAACCATTGCCTAGGAAACCTGAGCTCACCCTCAGAAAAATTGATACATTTCTCTGTAAACTTTCTATCAACCCCTCTCCATGCTAACATGATGTTTCAGGAAAGTAATATACAGTCTGGGGAAACTAATACACAAGCAATCAGAGCTTCACTCAGAGACTTGAACCCTGAATTAGATAAAAGAGAAAAACAAAGCCAACCTGGAAGGTGCAAGATAATCTTAATGCTGACAATGAAGAACTGCTGTCTAATATTAATGTGTCAGGAATGGACTGGCCAGCAATGGTGGGACTCACCTGCCTTTTGATCTGCAGTACCTGGTGTACCGCTGCCCGGAGTCCTGCCAGGTGTGCCAGTCTTTGATATCCTGCCAGTTACCAACCCGGGCGGTGGAACATTTTTCCCAGCTAGGACTGTTTGGAGCGTCCTGAGGCCGCTCCTTGAGGGGGGGGTACTGTCAGGAATGGACTGGCCAGCAATGGTGGGACTCACCTGCCTTTTGATCTGCAGTACCAGGGCTGGCCAGCGGGTGCTCCCAGCAATCAGAGACTCAACTTTGCAGCCAGCTAACACCTGGAACTGATTATGCTGGGGTATTTAAGGGATGGCCAGACCCACAGACTCTGCCTTGGTGTGTGTTTGTCCTGGGCCCTGTATCTGTCCTGCTTCCTGTTTCTGTTCCTTTGCTGACCTCTGTACTACGCTGCTTGCTACCTGTTCTGATCCCTGGCTTGTGACCCTGACCATCCCTCTGCTTGACCCTCTGTACTACGCTGCTTGCTACCTGCTGAACCTGGCCTGTGACCCCGACCATTCTCCGCTTGCTCCCCCTGTACCTACCTGCCCAATTGATATTGACCCGGCCTGCCTGACGACGCTTGCTTGTATGTACTGTTATCTGTGGGTGGTTGGTTTGGTTTGTTTGCACTGTATTATGTTTAGTATTGCACTGCGTTTATGTTTGTATTGTTAGTGTTAATAAATTATATATGTTTATCCCATATCTGAAGTCTGCGCTTCCCTGCGTCAGTCACACATCTCTGGTCATACCTGGGAGCCCTGACATTACACCAAGGCCAATCCTGACCAGAAGTGGCTGCACAGGGAAGCCATCTTGGTTTGTTGATGGGAAGGATGGATCTGGATGAGGTTGAGTATTTATCTCTGCTAGTGTTTGATGACAGGGAGTATGCTTATCAAACTCTGAAGGAGTATCCCCGGGATGAACTGCTAGAATGTATACGGCTCGCTCATGTTCTAGTAGATCAGGGCACAGAGTTCTCTGAGGTGCAGCCTTTGATTGAGGTTTGTGCAGAGTTGGTTTCATCTGGTTCCCCCGAATGCAGGGATGAATTTTTGCCACCATTTAGTGCAGACCAGGTAGAGTCCCTGGTGTGGTTATTAGAGGATGATGTGGGTTACTTTCTGGAGCGTTATTCCACATGTTCACCACAGACACTAAGAGTTTGTATAAACGCAGTGCAGTCATTGACCAGACAGGCTTTGTGTAAGCTCAGCTTTGTTCAACCCATACTGCAGACATGGACAGACTTGTTGCACCCAGCCTCAGTCAGCTTACAAAGACCCAGTCCTGCTTCTAACTCTTCTCCTGTATTCCCAACAGCTCCTCCAGTTACAGCCCAGTATACTTGGCTATCTACCGCATGTCAGTACCCTGTTCCCACTCGCTGCACCTATCCTGCCTTTAACCCTGTAAAAAAGCCCTCTGTAGCAACTGCTCCCTCTCCCTGTTCCATCCTCCAGTTCTTCTCTGTCTCCAGCTGCTCCATTCGTTTGCAGACCTGCGTTTACTTGCAGTGCTCCAGTAGTTAAAACCAGAAAAAAAGCGAAAATTCTTTCCAACCAATACCATCCTGCCAGTATCCAAACTGGTGAACCTGCCTTCCGTGGTTCAGCCTGAAGCCTCTACTCGGCCTGAAGCCTCTACTCGGCCTGAAGCCTCTACTCGGCCTGAAGCCTCTACTCGGCCTGAAGCCTCTACTACTCGGCCTGAAGCCTCTACTCGGCCTGAAGCTCTACTCGGCCTGAAGCCTCTACTCGGCCTGAAGCCTCTCTACTCGGCCTGAAGCCTCTAGCCTGAAGCCTCTACTCGGCCTGAAGCCTCTACTCGGCCTGAAGCCTCTACTCAGCTGGACGCCGGCATTCAGCCTGATGCCTCTACCCAGCATGATGAACTGATCCAGCCTGATGATCCTATTAGGCCAGTTGACTCGATGCCCGCTGTTGATCCAGATGATCCGGTACCTGATCCGGTGCTCGCTGTCGTGCCAATTGACTCAGAGCCCGCTGTCGTACCTGGTGACTCGGTGCCCACTGCCTTGCCAGATGACGCGGTGCCCGCTGGCGAGCCAAATGACCTGATGCCTGGTGACCCAGTGCCCGCTGTCATACCTGGTGACCCGATGCCCGCTGTCGAGCCAGATGATCCAATGCCTGGTGACCCGTGCCCACTGCCTTGCCAGATGACGCGGTGCCCGCTGGCAAGCCAAATGACCTGATGCCTGGTGACCCAGTGCCCGCTGTCGAGCCAGACAATCCGGTACCTGATGACCCGGTGCCCACTGTCGTGCCTGTTGATTCGGAGCCCACTGCCTTGCCAGATGACGCGGTGCCCGCTGTTGAGCCAAATGACCTGATGCCTGGTGACCCGATGCCCGCTGTCCAGTCAGACGATCCAATGTCTGACCCAGTGCCCGCGGTCATACCAGTTGACTCGGAGCCCACTGCCTTGCCAGATGATGCGGTGCCCGCTGGTCGAGCCAAATGACCTGATGCCGGGTGACCCGATGCCCGCTGTCCAGCCAGACGATTCCAATGTCTGACCCAGTGCCCGCGGTCATGCCAGTTGACTCGGAGCCCACTGCCGTGCCAGATGATCGGCGCCCGCCGCTCTGCCTGAGGGCCAAATGACCTGCCGCTCCACCTGGGGGTCCGGACGCCTGCCGCTCCGCTGGGGGCCCGAGACGATCCACCTGGGGGTCCGGCGCCCCGCCGCTCCGCCTGAGGGCCCGAGACCTGTCGCTCCACCTGGGGGTCCGGCGCCCCGCCGCTCCGCCTGAGGGCCCGAGACCTGTCGCTCCACCTGGGGGTCCGGCGCCCGCCGCTCCGCCTGAGGGCCCGAGACCTGTCGCTCCATCTGGGGGTCCGACGCCCGCCGCTCCGCCTGGGGGCCCGAGACCTGTCGCTCCGCCTGGGGGCCCGAGACCTGTCGCTCCACCTGGGGGTCCGGCGCCCGCCGCTCCGTCTGAGGGCCCGAGACCTGTCGCTCCGCCTGGGGGCCCGAGACCTGTCGCTCCACCTGGGGGTCCGACGCCCGCCGCTCCGCCTGGGGCCCGAGACCTGTCGCTCCGCCTGGGGGCCCGAGACCTGTCGCTCCACCTGGGGGTCCGGCGCCCGCCGCTCCGCCTGAGGGCCCGAGACCTGTCGCTCCGCCTGGGGGCCCGAGACCTGTCACTCCACCTGGGGATCCGGCGCCCGCCGCTTCGCCTGAGGGCCCGAGACCTGTCGCTCCACTTGGGGGGTCCGGCTGCCCGCCCGCTCCGCCTGAGAGCCCGAGGACCTGTCGCTCCACCTGGGGGTCCGGCGCCCGCCGCTCCGCCTGAGGGCCCGAGACCTGTCGCTCCATCTGGGGGTCCGGCGCCCGCCGCTCCGCCTGAGGGCCCGAGACCTGTCGCTCCATCTGGGGGTCCGGCGCCCGCCGCTCTCCGCCTGAGGGCCCGAGACCTGTCGCTCCATCTGGGGGTCCGGCGCCCGCCGCTCCGCCTGAGGGCCCGAGACCTGTCGCTCCATCTGGGGGTCCGGCGCCCGCCGCTCGCCTGAGGGCCCGAGACCTGTCGCTCCATCTGGGGGTCCGGCGAGACCTGAGGGCCCGAGACCTGTCGCTCCATCTGGGGGTCCGGCGCCCGCCGCTCCGCCTGAGGGCCCGAGACCTGTCGCTCCATCTGGGGGTCCGGCGCCCGCCGCTCCGCCTGGGGCCCGAGAGACCTGTCGCTCCATCTGGGGGTCCGCGCCCGCCCCTCCGCCTGAGGGCCCGAGACCTGTCGCTCCATCTGGGGGTCCGGCGCCCGCCGCTCCGCCTGAGGGCCCGAGACCTGTCGCCCAGCCTGAGGGCCCGAGACCTGTCGCCCCGCCTGGGGGCCCGATGCTGGTCGCCCCGCCTGGGGGGCCCGATGCTGGTCGCCCCGCCTGGGGGGCCCGATGCCGGTCGCCCCGCCTGGGGGCCCGATGCCGGTCGCCCCGCCTGGGGGCCCGGCGCCCGCCGCCCCGCCTGGGGGCCCGGCGCCCGCCGCCCCGCCTGGGGGGCCCGGCGCCCGCCGCCCCGCCTGGGGGCCCGGCGCCCGCCGCCCCGCCTGGGGGCCCGGCGCCCGCCGCCCCGCCTGGGGGCCCGGCGCCCGCCGCCCCGCCTGGGGGCCCGGCGCCCGATGCTGCCCCGCCCGGGGGCCCGGCGCCCGCCGCCCCGCCCGGGGGCCCGGCGCCCGCCGCCCCGCCCGGGGGCCCGCCGCTCCGCCCGGGGGGGCCCGGCGCCTGCTGCTCCGCCCGGTGTCCGCCCCCGGTGCCTGCTGCTTCGCCCGGTAATCCGATGTGCCTCTGCCCAGAGTCCAGCCCAATGTGCCTCTGCCCGGTGTCCAGCCCGATGTGCCTCTGCCTGGTGTACCGCTGCCCGGAGTCCTGCCAGGTGTGCCAGTCTTTGATATCCCGCCAGTTACCAGACCCGGGCGGTGGAACATTTTTCCCAGCTAGGACTGTTTGGAGCGTCCTGAGGCCGCTCCTTGAGGGGGGGGTACTGTCAGGAATGGACTGGCCAGCAATGGTGGGACTCACCTGCCTTTTGATCTGCAGTACCAGGGCTGGCCAGCGGGTGCTCCCAGCAATCAGAGACTCAACTTTGCAGCCAGCTAACACCTGGAACTGATTATGCTGGGGTATTTAAGGGATGGCCAGACCCACAGACTCTGCCTTGGTGTGTGTTTGTCCTGGGCCCTGTATCTGTCCTGCATCCTGTTTCTGTTCCTTTGCTGACCTCTCTGTACTACGCTGCTTGCTACCTGTTCTGATCCCTGGCTTGTGACCCTGACAATCCCTCTGCTTGACCCTCTGTACTACGCTGCTTGCTACCTGCTGAACCTGGCCTGTGACCCCGACCATTCTCCGCTTGCTCCCCCTGTACCTACCTGCCCAATTGATATTGACCCGGCCTGCCTGACAACGCTTGCTTGTATGTACTGTTATCTGTGGGTGGTTGGTTTGGTTTGTTTGCACTGTATTATGTTTAGTATTGCACTGCGTTTATGTTTGTATTGTTAGTGTTAATAAATTATATTGTTTATCCCATATCTGAAGTCTGCGTTTCCCTGCGTCAGTCACACATCTCTGGTCATACCTGGGAGCCCTGACATAATGACTTATGGTCTAATACTGTTAAATGCATGTCTGCTCTCTCCCAACAATCTCATGAGCAAATACAACTAGAGGGTGCTATCCAGCAATTGAATATTGCTTATGAGAACTATCAAAGACTGTGTGTTAAATATATTGCTCTCTTAAAGCAGTACAATACTCAAAGGTCATTGGAAGAGTTAATGAGTTTTGAGGAGCTCAATCTTGAAAGAGACAATTTAGTGGTGCGAACAAAGACAAAGGCAGAAGTGAGAATAACACAGCTCCATGAATCCAGATCTTATCGCTCTGCGTCTACTAGACACTCCTCAAGATCTTTAAAATCCCTACAATCAAGGTCTTCTACACTCAGTCAACAACTAATAAAAGCCTATGCTGATGCTGAAGCTTCTAAAATTCAGGTAGCTTTCACCCAAAAGAAAGCAGAAGTGGAGGCTCAGGCCTCACATAAGAAAGCAGAAATGGAGGCTCAGGCCACATATAAGAAGCAGAAATGGAGGCTCAGGCCACAGAAATGGAAGCTCAGGTTGCACATAAGAAAGCAGAAATGGAGGCTCAGGCCACAGAAATGGAAGCTCAGGTTGCACATAAGAAAGCAGAAATGGAGGCTCAGGCTGCAGAAATGGAGGCTCAGAGTGCATATAAGGAAGCAGAAATTGAGGCTCAGGCCGCAGAAATGGAGGCTCAGGCCACACAAAAGAAAGTAGAAATGGAGGCTCAGGCACACAAATGGCGGTTCAGGCCGCATATAAGAAAGCAGAAATGGAGGCTCAGGCTGCACATCAGAAAGCAGAGAAAGAAGCTGAAGCCACACGCCAAAAGGCAGAAATTGAAGTTTTGGAAAAACAATGTGAGCATGCCACAGCCATGGCAAGGTTAAGTGAAAAGGAAAGAGACAACAGTTCCAGACACTCAGTTGAATCTTATGTCTCAGATTCTTCACACACCTCCAGAACGTCAACTCCCTGTCACAGCAGCCAAAGTACTCAAATTCTCTTCTCTGCACCTACTGTATCTCAAGACAGTTTGCCCTTATATCCTCCAATACATCAGACTGCAGCATCTCAGCTAGCCGCAGACACTGGTATGTATTTAATAGACCGTCCACCTTACTTTGGCACCAACAGAGTACCTCCTAGCAAATGCACTACTCTACAAACGAACATGCCAATGGACTTTAAGCCAGCTCCGGCATTGAATGCGTTAGCAGCAACATATGTTCCCAAGTCACTCCACGTAAGTCCACCAACCGTCACAACCAACTCTGTTCCACCTGCAGTCATGCACCCAAAATATGAAAACACGGACATGTCACAGTTTGCTAAATACATGCTCCGCAGAGAGCTTGTTAAGACAGGCCTCACCAAGTTTGATGACAAGCCTGAAAATTACAGAGGCTGGAAATCCACTTTTAAGGCCACAATGAGTGACCTAGATATCAATGCCACAGAGGAATTAGATCTACTCATTTGATGGCTAGGTCCCCAGTCCACTGAACGCATCAAGAGGGTCAAAACAGTTCATATTGACAACCCTGCTGCAGGCCTTAATGCTGCTTGGGGCAGACTTGAACATACCTTTGGCAGCCCCGAGGCCATTGAAGATGCTTTATTCAAAAGGTTGCAAAGCTTCCCAAGGATTTCTGCTAGCGACAATCTAAAGCAGGGGTCCTCAAACTTTTTAAACAGGGGGTCAGTTCACTGTCCCTCAGACCGTTGGAGGGCCGGACTATTTTTTTTTTTTTAAAAAAACCTATGGTCATCTCCTGTACTGTGTCCGCATTTGTTCAGAGACAGCGGACATACAACGGCGGCGGGAATACTGGGCCGGCCACTGTATAAGACGCACAGACATTTAACCCCGTGTGTCTTATGGAGTGAAATAGTGTCCCATCATTGGTGTCAGTGGGAGGAATAGTGCCCCATCATTGGTGTCAGTGGGAGGAATAGTCCTCATCATTGGTGTCAGTGGGAGGAATAGTGCTCCATCATTGGTGTCAGTGGGAAGAATCGTGCCCCATCATTGGTGTCAGTGGGAGGAATAGTGCCTCATCATTGGTGTCAGTGGGAGGAATCGTGCCTCATCATTGGTGTCAGTGGGAGGAATAGTGCCCCATCATTGGTGTCATTGGGAGGAATAGTGCCCCATCATTGGTGTCAGTGTGAGGAATAGTGTCCCATCATTGGTGTCAGTGGGAGAAATAGTGTCCCATCATTGGTGTCAGTGGGAGGAATAGTACGTCATTGGTGCCAGTGGGGGGGGGAGGAATAGTGCCCCATCGTTGGTGTCAGTGGGGGGTGGAATAGTGCCCCATCGTTGGTGTCAGTGGGGGGTGGAATAGTGCCCCATCGTTGGTGTCAGCGGGGGGTGGAATAGTGCCCCATCATTGGTGTCAGCGGGGGGTGGAATAGTGCCCCATCATTGGTGTCAGCAGGGGAGGAATAGTGCTCATTGGTATCAGTGGGAGGAATAGTGCCCCATCAGTTGGAATATGCCCCATCATTGGTATCAGTGGAGGAATAGTGTGCCCCATCATTGGTGTCAGTGGGAGGAATAATGCACCATCATTAGTATCAGTGACACCAATGATGGGGCACTATTCCTCCCACTGACAGCAATGACACTTAACTAGCCGACCCCTGTGCCAGCATGGTGCTGCTGCAGCCAGCATACCTGGTTGCAGCAGTACCATCTGCACGCACACTTACCCGGCGGTCAGCTGTCCTCCTTCCTTCACTCCGGCCTCTCCCTCCCTTGATTTTCGTGGGGCCGCTCGGCTCCGCCTCCTCGCCGGTGATTGGCAGCCTGTGTGCCTTTCCTAAGCTACAGTACTGGCGCCCAATCACCGGTGAGGAGGCGGAGCCGAGCGGCAGCGCGGACATCGAGTGAGGGAGCGGCCAGAGTGAAGGAGCAGCGCATCCTGGACTGGATCGTCGTGGGACTGGGACCGGAGCCAGGTAAGAGACAGCAGCCCCCTGCCCACCCCTGTACTTGGTGTCCCCTGCCGGCGGGCTGGATGAGTGTGCTCGGCGGGCCGCATGTGGCCGTAGTTTGAGGACCCCTGATCTAAAGTTTCAAGAACTCAGGGATGTTCTTTTAGAGCTTCAACTTGCTAAGGCTGACATCAACTTACTTGGTCTCAGTTACCTTGACACCTTTCACGGCATCAAATCTATTGTTCTCAAGCTACCATATGGAATTCAAGAAAGATGGGCAGAACTTGGATCAAAGTATAAGGAAGAACATAGAGTTGCCTTTCCTCCTTTTTCCTACTTCTGCG